GGTGAACCCTACAAATACACAATCGAAACAGTTATCACATCATGATTACATTATATTCTGATGTTTTTTAATCTATAGATATATTCATTCAAATGTATTCGTTCGTTAGCCTTAGGAAGTGGTAGTCAAGTTGTAGCGAGATTCGATCGACTCATTGAGTTCCAGGTTTGAACCCTTCTTCTAAACCTAACCTCTCCGATTACTTTTAATTCCCTTACTACCTCTTCTACTATTGGATTTGAATTGACAATTATATCTCTCTGTGCTGATAAGGTATGGCAAGATGAACTGATGTACTTACGTACAAACTTCTACGTTGCATCTGATCTGACTGAGGTTTGAACCCAGTTGAAACTATATCAAAATTCAGTCAACTAGTCACTAGTCCATGTACTTCAAAACACTAAATATACGAATCAGTATAGTATCTGGATAGCTAAATTGATCCGACTACAAATCGATAAAGATAAAAAAAACGAGAAGAAAGCAAACATACTTCTTTCTATGTAAAATGAATGAATTATCTACATATTATTGAAAAAGAAAAAAATATATATCAATTATTCTTATTTTTTCGGTCTATAAGTATATGATTTTAAATAAGCTGGAACTGATTCATACAATGCACGTTCAGTTCGTCGTGATATTCGACGTTTTTCAGGTACATTCTTTTCATTAACATTGTTAGGGTTAACGGCGAAATTCCCACTAGATGATGCAGTTGAGGAAGTCATATGTGCAACTAAAGTATTTGATGGTAAATTAATTAAACGTGGATATGGTGTCCCATAGTGTAATGTTAATTCAATTCTTGTTTCAGCTTCTTTAATATAATTCTATTTGAATAAAAACAAAGTATAGTTTTTATAGAGAAGAAGAACAAAACAGTATGAATAAACACTTGAAAATAGTAATAATAATAATAATAATGAATTAGTATATACACATTAGAAACCTAAGAGTATTGGATAACTGTCTCGTTCTGGTATGGGACTCATTAGCAGTGCTGTAGGGTTCGTCACTAGGTATGCTTGAAGCTAATTACGAGTTCACCTTAGTCGATGAACGCGAACAAGACAATGAACCAGCGTCCAGGTAGGATACATTGAATCCCAAGCTGTGAAAGTAGAAGACTTTGTAAGCGTAGAAAGTATATTATTTTACAAACACCCAGCAATCACAATACAATACAATCAAGCATACAACTCTCGTTTATTTATACATCATCATAGAAACATCCTTGGAACAGTCACAAAAATAGCACACAGCAGCTAATCACAGACATGGATTTTCCCTTCGTGGGATATGAAATCTCAAAGTCAACTGATCAACCCATGCTGGCAAACGTGAAATCCAAAATAAGGGAGCGAGTTATGGGGATCTAACATGTCCAACAAGTGAGTATCCACAACTTCCACTGCCAGTGGGATTCAACCCCTTTTTCGGATGTGAAGCAGTGGCTCACTGGAGACAGTGGATAAGGTTACGCAACACCGTGGATTGATTGAAGTTAGACGGATACTGACTCAGTGATCCAGAGGTTAAGTGTTTGTGCGTAAGATCAAAGGTTGTGGGATTTGATTTATTAGTGTGAGACTCTTCAGTTGTGCGCATCCATGACGACACACATGGGTATGAAGCAGTTACTTGTCGAAGATGGTTGCGCGATATCATGAATTATTCAAAGTTAGACTAATAGTTCGTGCATGAAACCAAAGTTTCTCAGTCTGTTTACCACATGTAAATTAATCATGAATATGTATGATTACTGAGGAATCCCATAATCAGACGAAACTGTCATCCAAAGCTTTTGAAATTTCAATCGTGATCTAGCTATGATCAGTTCATATTTGCATTGAAATAACTGCTTTGCTACCAAATCAATTATTCTTGTGAGATTAACATTTTTCCGATAGTTTGCTATATTGCACTTTTGATTCATCGAATTTCTGTATACTTTTAGGCCACATTTTTGTTATTATATGTAAGGAGTTGTACTATATCGTCTAGCTGTATTTGCTTCTCTTCAAATATTGATTAATTGTTGAAATGTTGTATTCTAGCTGGCCGCAATCGATTAACGCAACTGAAAATAAAATATTCAGACACAACAATCATTCACTGATATGATGTTGTCTTTCTTTAGTCACGAATGTTTATCTTTCAACTTATTCGTAACCAACCAAACATTCTGTGTCAAAGAAGAGGGTAGCAGTTAGAACATACATTATATTCATTCAAGTGCTGAAGTTGTATTCTGTATTAGTCAAATCAAGTGGTAGAAGAAGTAGACAGCTTAAATGTAAATGTCACAATGTTGTATTCTGAATAATATTATCATTAAAATGAAATAGGCGCCATATGAGTTTGTCCGAAACAACAATGAACATATTGTAATTATTAAACTGCGCTTACATCAGACAACAAAAATACATTACCCACTTCCCTATCTGAACGGAAAAACTTTTCACCGCCCACATATATTATTTGCGTAATCCTCGGTCATGTAGAAAGAGCTGTCTATATGGATGTAGTTGAGAAGTGAAGTTTAATTGGAAGCAATCAGTTGTGTCAGTCAGTCACTCAGTTATAACGTAGAACGTCGTACGTACATACGTACATTAATTCAAGTTGCTATATCATAGGTGTAGGTCAGTCAATCAGTCACTCACTCACTTCCTGTTTAATCACAGACAAGACAGATACAACGCAGAACTATGTCATCGGCATATTTTAGGTCAGTAAGCGACTTTCCTGGTAGAAAGTCAACTCGTGAAAATTCAGACGAGGTTAAGGGTACATCTAGCAGCATGTCCATGACAACATTAAACAAGAATGTCGAAAGTGGACATCCCTGACGGACACCACTTGAAGTACAGAATTCCGATGACAGTTCGCCATAAGCTCTAACTCGACCAGTAGTGTTCGAGTATAGAGCTTGTATAAGGTTAATGTACTTCTTTGGTACACCTTTCAATGACAGACACTGCCACAGAACCTCACGATCCACAGAGTCAAATGCTGTTTTCAGGTGGAAAAATACTACTGTTGTGGGTGTTTTTGTTCTAGGACCTGACAAAGTGTGAATATCTGGTCTATACATCCACGTCCATGTCTAAAACCTACCTGGTTTTCTCGAGTCCGTTGTTCACGAGCTCTAGTTAGGCGTTGGAGTATTATTGGTGCCAGTGTTTTAGATACTATATTAGTTAGACTTATTCCCCTGTGATTGTCACAAGAAGACTTCTGTCCTTTCTTATAGATTGGGACAATCAGTGATTGAGACCAGTCGGATGGGATTACGTCCAGTTCCCAGATTCTACTTAAGATCTCAGTCAATCTAGTTGCTAAAACTGGACCACCATCCTTAAATATCTCAGGGGTCAGTCTATCAGAACCTGCAGCTAGCCCTCGCTTCAGATTTCCTAACGCTTTCCCAACTTGATAAAGACTAGTGGGACGTACGTCGATTTTAAATTCAGGATGACTGGAGTTCGTGGGTAACCGAAGTGTTGCTCGAGGCCAGTTGAACTGATCCCTAAAGTGTTCTGCTCATCAGTTCAGTCTCCTGGATATCCTATAAATATAGTGTTAAAACAGTGAGAGAGTTCTACAACAACAACAACAACAAAAATACATCGATCACCAAACTTACTTCAATTTCTTTCACATCTGTAACATGTGCATTTTGACGAAATAAAATTCTTGCCTCCTCTTTCATATAATCAGCTTCACGTGCAGAATCTTCCGGTAGACCAGAATTTGCTTGCCATGTACGAGCAATACGAAATATTCGACGATATAATGATAGGATAAGTGAACGAGTTTGTGGTGAATTCACAACATTGCTAGCCTATATATATATATAATTTGACAATACACACATAAAAAATTCGTTTATACACGTCAATACTACAGAATGAATTAAACTATGTAATGTAAACCGACATAATACATTAAACAAAATGATTTATTAGTTTTATTTAGGAAAAGGTTCACTGACAATTGACAAAAACAGAGAAAAGAAAGTATATTAATCAAGGCAGTTTAGTTCAACACACAACTTTTGTGTTTATTTAACGCCAATTTTGAGGATATGAATAGAAATTAGTTTGAATCAAATAAACAGTTGTTTGTTTATGATCATTGTGATACGATAAAGAGGGAAAAAAAACATTGATGGTTTGATGTGATAGGGTGTTAGTTAACAGAATTGATAAAACCATCAGTCAGTCAGCTATAAACGTAGAATTTCGTACGTACGTATACGTAGACCACTTCAGATTGCCATACCGTACTAGCACAGAGACACAATTGTCAGTCCAAATCCCTTAGTGGTAGAGATAGTGGAAGTATTAGTGGTAATGTAGAAAATTAGGTTTCGAAGATATTATTCGAGAAGTATAATTCAGTGAAATAAATTTAGAAAGAGAAAGATACAGGTGATGAAGGAAGCAGAGGATTAGAATTTGAGACAACTCAAAGAGTGGATGCACCTGCGCCATGTCATTCAAGGTCTCTAACCATCACTTAGTATCTTCTTGCAACCCCAACCAGGTAGTCGACACCTACCAACAATGACCCAGTCCACTTGTCAGTGAGTTCATGGATTTGTGCTATGTTTTGGTCTGGCCGCCCTTAGCTTTTGTCCAACCTATTCCTATACCGCAAAATATCGCTCGTCAAGTCAGCCATCCCATCTAACAGAATATGCTATCATTTCTACTTTTTGTAAAGATGATTTCTGACATAAAACAGATATCAGCTGGAAAATCAATGAGAAAAAGAGAACATCTTAAACTCCCTTGCATTTATAACGATGGCAGTAAGCTCTTAAAAATGTACCGGGACAATATATGGAAAACTATTCATGAGTGACTGGTTTCAGTAATTTGTTGGACAATAGTATAACACTTCCAGGTCTAATAAAAAAAGTCACTGCTTATTAGATTAACCCCTAGATATTGTTTGATCAGTATGATGAATAAAATACATGTATACACGAGTCTATGCTGGTGATCGAATACATTGTGACATTGTAGTACTAGCACTCATGAGTGAAATGTTCGAGTTAATTTCTAGGCAGATAATGTACAGATTTTGGCCCATTTAAATATTACCTTATGTACGGAAGATATAGCAGGAAAAGTTACTTGAATAGGTTTGAAATATGAAGTTACCAAGCCAATTATTCAGTAATCTTCCCAACATGCCGATATTGTGCACCCACATTGTCCATTACAAAATTCAGCTAATTTACAATGAGTAGCTAACACCCGAACATTAAATTATAAAACAAATTTACATCTGAATAATGGAACACCGCTTGGAGCCCTTCTAGGGTTATCGCCAGTCCCAAGCCCGGAGATAAAGGAGGAGAGTTGAGTGTGAGGTTATAGACCCCATCCCACAGAAAAATAACTTGCTAAAAAAACACAAACCAAAAAGAAATAGTCGGTGGCCTATGCTCCATTAGGGGTAACAGGTGTAAGTAAGTAATGTGAATGAGAAATATCCATTAACTACATTTAAAACTACTGACTATACCGTGGTGATTGCGTCTATCAACTGGCATGAATTCTGTACTTATTATATTCATCTGGTCACTAACATGCGACATAGATGCCTGCTCTTGTTGACACTGTGATAGTTGGAGGTACAATAAATACATAAGTGAAGCGCTGTTAAACACTTCTACGTATACTGCTACTAAGATTGAAAAGTTTTATCAAACTATTTAACCAAGAATGTTCAATACTGAGTCATAAATAATTTTATGCTAGTGGAATTGTTAATGATACTCAGTGTCCAAGATCTGGACATGGCAAAAGCTAATCATCTCCTACTTGAGTAGAGTAGAAGAGAAAGTCTACTATTTGCCATTTTCTAAATTTACATTCATTCCCTTTTAGAAAATGAATCCATTTCTTGACCAATGATAAGTATTCATACTTTAGAATATTTCTAATAGTCATCAAATGACCTTTGCCATTCAGCCACTTTTAATTAGCTTTCTCTATGTTAAGAACAATATAATATCGCGGTCAAAAAGATTCTGACCAATTAACTGAATTATTTACTAATTAAACATTTAGCTGAGAACATCAAAAGCGACAATCAACTAACTACTACTATATTTGATTTTTTTTATTGTAGAGAGTATATACACCGGTCAGTCAGTTAGATGCAACGTAGAACTTCGTACGTAAGGACATCAGTTCAGGCAGCCATACCACATTATTAGCACAGATATGAAATATTCAATTCAAATCCAATAGTAGAAGAGGTAGTAAAGGTATTAGAAGTAATCGGAGAGGTTAGGATTAAAAGATATTATTCAAGAAGTATGATTCAGTGAGAAAAGTTTAGAAAGACAAAACTAGAGGTGTTGAAGAATCCAGAAGATTAGGATTTGAAAGAACACAGAGAATAAATGCACCGGCGCCATTGCAAACGGTTTTGAGCCATGTCATTCAGGGTATCTAACCATCGATTATTATCATCTCACGGACCCCAACCAGGTAGTCGACAATTACCGACATGGCTAAGTCCACTCGTCAATGACTTCATGGATTTCTGTAATGTTTTGGTTAGGCAGCCCCTAACTTTCTTCCAAACTACTCCTTCACCACTTAACATAGCTCGTCGAGGCAGTCGGTGGTTAGGCATTCGTAACACATGTCCAAACCACCTCAATCGATGAAGTTTCACCACTTTGTCTATTGATCTGCCATATTTACCTAGTACTCTTTTCCTAACAACTGCATTGCTTACTCGGTTGTCCCACGATATACGAGCAATGCTTCTTAAACATCTGTGATCGAATACTAGTAACCTACGAACATCTACTCTTAACGGCCATGTTTCGCATCCATACAGGAGAACGGAGCGAACTGCTGCCGTCATGTTTTGGTTTGGCCACCCATAGCTTTCTTCCAACCTACTCCTACACTGCAAAACATAGCTCGTCGAGCTTTAGACAATTAGCAGTTTTCTTTTTGAGTGTGTATGTGTGTCTGTATATGCGTTTAATTGTATTCTCATTAGGATCGTTGAATAAATCGTCTAAATATCACCGTGTATACAGTAATATCACGTTTAAGTCTGACCTAATTAGCTACCTAACTGAGAAAAACCAGATTATCATTGATTTCATTTGTATGAGAAAGTAACCAGTGCAATTTATGTTTCAATCGTTTTGAAAGCAATAAAAACAAACAAACACAATATCGATTCATTTTGATGTAAAAAAAAACAATCCGATTAATTTAATTCAAAACAATATCATTATTGAATATAGGACAGAACAAAACAAAACAAAAAATCACACAGTTCAAGATGTACGTACGTACAATATAAGCTGGTATCGATTGTAAAGTGGACAACTAATATTTTGAATATATTTAAACATAAAAATATGAATAATGCTTAATAGTGGAATTCAAAACTCATTGTTTCATACTATCAGTTGTATGTGCCTCCATCTATCTTAATGTAGTCACATTTCGTAGGTTACTAGTCTTCAATCATCGATATCTCCGAAGCATTGCTCGTGTATCATGGGACAACCGTATTAGCAATGCTATCGTTAGGAAACGAGTTCTAGGTAAGGATGGCAAATCAATAGATGAAGTAGTGAAACTTCATCCGTTGAGGTGGTTAGGATATCTGTTACATATGGCTAACCACTGACAGCCACAACCAGCTATGGTTGGAGATGTATGAGTAGATTGGAAGAAAGCTAGGGGCGGCCAAACCAAAACATGACACAGATCAATGAAGTCACTGACAAGTGGACTGAGTCATGTTGGTAGATGTAGACTACCTGGTTGGGGTCCGTGAGACGTTAGACACCGATGGTTAGAGACCTTGAATGACATGACTCAGAATCGTTTACAATGGCTCAGGTACATACATTCTTAGTGTTCTATGAAATTCTAACCTTCTGAATTCCTCATGATCTCTGTCTTTCTCCTTCTTAATTTATCTTACTGAATTATACTTCTCGAATCATGTCTTCGCTCCCTCATGTTCTTCATTACTGCTAATACTTGTACTATTGCTATCACTGTTGGATTTGATTTGACAGTTGCGTCTCTGTGCTTGTCGGGCATGGCAAGCTGAACTAATGTACTTATATACGAAGTTCTGCGTTGTATCTGTCTGTCTGTACTCACATACACACACATACATGAACTCGAACCCAGTACCATTCACTTTAAATGCCTAAATATGCCGAGAGATTGATTAAAATTTAAACTGTAACAGAAAATGTAATAGGGTTTTTGATTGTTAGGGAATTATGGATAAAAAGCATCAAGTACCTTTCGACATTATCACAACATACTGAATGAATTAAACTCGTACAAAGAAAAAAAGATTTCAATAGAGAGGATCAACAAGTAGTTGAAAATTAGTCACGCCTATAGGAGAAGACAATGTAAAAGATGAAACTCAGTTAAAACATGTATACATACTTGCATAGCTGACCTTGAACTATACAATCTATTTGGCAGTTGCACAATTCAAAGTGTTAGTGTGTAGGAGAGGGAGAGAGGTATAACCATAAAAAAACAGATCCATAAGAAAGGATATATCACATACAACTTAGAATACTCTACAATTCAAACTATTAACAGATCACTAACCTTTGCATAGAAAAGAGTAATATGTTTAGCATAATGAAAATGTTATTAGTCTAAAGTATAATGGAGATTGCTTTGTTTGAAGTTTTCCATCATGAATCAAATTACAATAGGCAATTAGTAAAAATCAGGTTTTAGTATGAGAGAGACTAATCAACATTGTCAATCTACAACCCAGCTAGGAATTAAACCTACAATTTTCAAGTCTTGATTAACCTCTGAATCACTAAGTTATCTTATAGTCTATATCGTAGATCTGTTCACAATCACTGATTACCACTGCTAATATTTTCTCTCATGACCGATAAAGTTGATCTCCTCTACTTATGAGCTCTTATGTGAATATCGGGCATAAGCCCTCAGAGGTATTCGCCAGTAAGCACACGTGCTGAAGTGTACAAAATCTACTTCAGAATCACTTTATCGTTTACATATCTTTATTTAATGAAAGATGAAACACAGATTATATTAGTATTATTCTATAGACCGGGTTAGAGTATTCACATTTTTATAGAGTAAAGCTTAGAAAAAAAGAGCTTCTATAAAACACAGTAGAAAGTCAAATAACTTTTGTGTGCTGATTAGAATCCGATAAGAGATACTCAAACTCAGAATAAAATTTATAGTGGAAAATATACCTACTACCAATCTCTGATCCATGTAAAGAAAAATATATATATTGTATCGATCAATGTTAGACCACCATCAGAAACCTGGAATCACTGTACAGTCATTTTGTCCTGGTATGGGACTTGTTAGATGCAGGTTCAGATGATAATAATCGATGGTTAGAGTGACGGCTCAAAACCGTTTGCAATGGCGCCGGTGCATTTATTGTGTTCTCTCGAACCCTTATCTTCTGAAATACTCATCACCTCAGACAAACAAAAACAACAAAGAACTTCGTACATAAGTACATCAGTTCAGGTTGCCATACCATGTCAGCACAGAGACGTAGCTGTCAGTTCAAATCTAAGAGTGATAGTGATAGTAGAATTATTAACAGCAATGGAGAAGATTAGGGAGCGAAGATATTATTCAAGAAGCGGAATCTAGTGAAATAAACTTAAAAACAAAAAGGTAAAGTGACGAAGAATTAAAAAGTTCGGGATTTGAGAGAACATAAAGAATGAATGCACATGCGCCATTGTAAACGGTTTTGAGCCATGTCATTCACGGCTTCTAACCATCGACTACTATCATCTAGCGGGCTCCAAATAGATAGCTTACATCTACCAACATGGCTCAGTCCCCTTGTCAGTCACTTCATGGATTGGTGCCAAGCTTTGGTCTGGCCTCCCCTAGCTTTCTTCCAAACTACTCCTACACCGCAAAACGTGGCTCGTCAAGATAGGCAGCGGCTGGGCATTTGTAACACATGTAATGAGGAATCCAGAAATGAGCAATGCTTCCGACACACCTATGATCAATATTAATCAATGTTCAATACACAGTATGCATAAAATTAAAACAAAACAATATACACAAAATACTTAGTGAAAATAATTCATGTTAAACAAACAATCAAATGAACAGCAACCCCCAGCCACAACAACATGACATCAAATTGAATGAAAAAGCTATAAGAAGAACACAAATAGAGGAGATAAATTGCCTAATTATTTTTTCTTCAAACTTTTATTATTATCAGAAAAAAATAAAATAGATTGATTTATCATGAATTAAACTATGTACAATTTTTGTCAATAAGCATAAATTGTTTTTCGCATTAAAACAAAACAAAAAGTGCGGCACATACAAAATTTTGAAAAAAAAAACACAAACAATTGCGTAATTTGTTTGTTTTACAAGTTTAGAATTAGAAAATAAAATTTAAAAAAGAAAGCGGAGACGAAGCAAGAAGAAAATAGAAGGTAGATTGTGGAGAAAAAAACACTGAACATGATCGAGATGATGATAGGCGAGAAGAGGAGATGATGGGGCGAGGTTTTTTTTTCGGATGAATCCGTTACAAATATATGTAGAGGAGAGTGGGGGCAAAGAAATACCACCTACTCAGTCACAAAATTAATAAAGTTGACAGTAATAAGAATAGGCATGATTAATGCGGCATGTAAGGTCAAACGGAGAAATCAATGCTTTCGAGAGAGAGAAAAAACACTCCCCATTGAAAAAGTACAGTATAAAAGAGGTGAATTTAGTGCACCTACAACGGATTACAAGTTAATTGGAATTTTTTTAAACGGCTAAAGAATGGAATATCCAGTGTGTGAGGCAGTCAAGAGCAATGTACACACACATATACCCGTGGTACATTTTTGACAAAAACCCAAGGAGAATAATAATAATAGTAATTCGTGCATCAGTTAGTTCGTCCTCAACTGTAGCAAAATTACATCACGAAAAAAAAAATAATAAAAATTGTAATTTTCGACATAATCAGCCGAGCATCCCTCAACAACAGAAAAATTACAATTTCTTTGGATTAAAGCTTTACAAATCAATTATTGAAGTAGACAGACAGACAGACAAACACAGACAGTAAGCAACACAGGAAAAAATAGCCACAGCATAGCACAGAAGACTATGTAAAAAAGGAATAAACCGCGAGGAAAAAAACTATGAAGCAACACAGTAAAAAAAATTAATTTCATTTCATTTAAAATGTAATTTCATAGTGTACAATCCCCTTTATGATTGTTTATTATTAATTAATTAATTTATACACTGCATTCATTATAAAAGCATTTTATAGCATAGGAGGTACGACGGTGGGGTGGGGGGGGAGGAGGAGGAGCAAGGAACACTGGAAAAATAAACCACAACCACAGAAAAAAAAACCAAGAGAGAGAGAGAATACATTTTAAAAAAAAAGGATTTAAAAATAAACAGAATAAGAAAATTTTAATTTAATACAGATTGTTGACTAGGCAAATCCGGTTGACTTCCAGCACCATTACGTCTTAGCGATATTGAAGAAGAGGATACAGGCGGTGGTAAATGATGGTGATGGTGGTGATGGTGATGGTGATGACTGTTGGATCCAAGAATGCTAGAACTAGTCGATGAAGAACCAGTACAATCTACACTGATACTTCGTGTACCACGTCGTTCAGCTAAACGATGTGTTACACGTTCTAATGCACGAATCCATTCATCGCGTTCAACCAGAGTGGGTGCAGCCATTTTGTAGACTGTTTGACCTAGAAATATTTTTGCAGTAAATAACAAACTTATGAATACCAATATTCAAGTATTGACTTTTTTTTAGTTTAGTTTACTTTACATCAGTTTAAACAAATCAACAATTGAGAAAGTACTGAATTATTTGGACTAAGACACATCTGTTATTAGGAAATGGGTGCTAGGTAAGAATGGCAGATCAATAGACGCAGTAGTGACACTTCATCAGTTGAGGTGGTTGGGACATGTGTTGAGTATGCCTAACCACCGACTGCCTCGTCGAGCTTTGTTTTGTAGTGTAGGAATAGGTTGGAAGAAAGTTAGGGGCGGTCAAACCAAAACATGGCACAAATCCATGAAGTCACTGACAAGTGGACTGAGTCATGTTGTTAAATGTACGCTACCTTGTTGGAGTCCGCAAGATGAGAGACCTTAAACAACAAGCCTCGAAATCGTTTGCAATGGCGCCGGTGCACCTATTCTTTGTGTACTTCCAAATTTTAATCTAAACTCCTCAAAATCTTCATCTTTCCTCTCACAAATGTATTTCGCTACATTATACAGCTTGAATAGTATCTTGAACCCTAATCATTCCGATTACTACTCATACTTCAACTACCTCTACTACTATGGGACTTGAATTGACAATTGTATCTCTGTGCAATCGTGGTATGGCAACTTGAACTGATGTACGTACGTACGAATTCCTACGTTGTAAATGACGACTGATTCCGTTTTACAGACGATTAACAAGATCACTTTTTATTAACAAAAAAAAATGAACCCTAGTCCCCACGATACTACAGCACCGAGCAATTTATGTACTATGTACTGGATAATCAAAATTCACAATATCTGTCACATGGTATTTGAAACTCTTTAACTAGATATGATGTTATTTACATCTCAAGTCTCTCGATACTCTTCATCATACACAATGCAAACTAGAACTTAGGTACAACTTTTCGTTTGCATCAAACAACATGACCATGACAAGATGTGCTCCACGGATTCAATGTTGATATTATTATGATCATCATCATCATCATCATCAGTAAACAAGTTTGAATTATCCCCCACTGTTTGATGACATGCAAGACTGAAATATTGATTGGTCTTCTTTTCTAGGTTGCCTCGATAATGATTAATATATATAATTGACGATGAAAAAAGTAAACTCAATAATGAATATGTATATAGTCAATAATGGGCAGACACCATCAGCAACAACAACGTGCTGTGGGAGAGAACAAACCAGATTCCAGTGGAGGAGGAAATCGGGAAGAAGCGGTGGAAGTGGATAGGACACGCACTACGAACAGCACCTAACTGAGTGACAAGATAAGCCCTCACTTGGAACCCCCAGGGCAAAAGGAAAAGAGGAAGGCCAAGGAATACATTACGCCGAGAAATAGAGAAAGACATGGGAGGAATGAATAAAAATTGGACAGAACTGGAGAGGGAAGCCCAGGAACAGAGTTGGTTGGAGAAAAGGGTGGGCGGCCTATGCTCCATTTGGGGGTAACAGGCGTAAGTAAAGTAAGTAAGTAATATAGTCAATAAAAAATGTATTACACTTTTGAGAAATAATATCCAGGGGAAAGATTGATACGATTAAAAAATGAATTGGTTATGGTTCATATTAACTCATGATTGGTGAAATCAGGCGTCAATAACATCTAGGGAATTGAATCCATGGTGTTATTGACTAACTGAACCGCCTGAACTACTTACTACTGTGGAAATCGATCAGTGCGTGTGAAATTACAAGATATGTTTTTGACATTTTTGATTGAAATATTAATTGAACGATCATTAGTTAGTTATTATTATTAGAGTGCTTTTGTTTGTTTTTCGTTATGAATCAATCTATTAGTAGTCGTATGTCACCGCTGTAAGAGAGAGATATTAGCCTAAATATAATTGGGCATTAGTTCAAGTTGCCATAACACACACACACATTAGTACAAGTGAGATGAATTAAACACGACGAATAGTTAAATACATGTGAAATCATGAATCAGACATTGTTAGACCATCATTGGAAGCCTAGAAGCACCAGAAGGCCGTTTCAACCTTGTATGGGACTCATCAGTGGCAGTACGCATCCACGACTCCTGCTACTAGCAGGACTCAAACCCACGACCTTCGATCTTGCACACGAATGCCCAAACTCTTGACCTCCTGTGAGTAGCGGGAGTCAATCGATCAACAGCAACATAGAACTTTCGTACATACGTACTTCAGTTCAAGTTGCCATACCACCAGATTAGCACAGAGATGCAATTGTCAATTTAAATCCCATAGCAGTAGAGGTAGTAAAAATTTTAGAAGTAATCGGAGAGATTAAGGTTCGAAGATATTATTCAAAAAGTAGAATCTAGTGAAATAAACGGAAATAAGCGGGAGTCGTGGATCCACACTGCTGATTAATACCATACTGGGACTAAATGGCCGTCCAATGTTCCCAAGGTGCTAATGGTGGTCTAACAATGAGTGATTCATGGTTTCAACGTGTAAAAACAAAGATTGCCATAATTCTAATTGAAGCACAGAAAATAGTAAGAGAGATCGAAACAATAATTGTAATGGTAGTGATAGTGAGACAAACAAACAAAACAACATTAAAAGAGTATGAAAATGAAGCAACTCAGCCAGTAGAATCTTCGGGGCTACTGCCGGTCCGAAACCCGGAAAAAGGAAGAGGGGTTGGACATGGCGTTGGCGCCCACATCCCGTCGAAATCTAACTTTCCAGAAAAACGCTAACTAGAAATGAAAATGAAGTAATCAATACTAGAGAACTCAAGAGATCTAGAAGATAAGACAAGAAATAAGATTGAATGAATTTACAAATGGGTCTGTCAGTCAGTCAATCAGTCCACAACGTGGAAGGGTGTTTCTTGAGGGACATGAAAAGGAAGGTAGATTAGTGTTGGTCTTAACGACGTGGGAGTGTGACCGCAATGTCCAAGGGACAACTGCTTGAGGCCGGTCACACACGGGCTTTTTATGAGAGGTTTTTAGAGAATTAGGTCCGCTCTTGTTTAAAAGGCCTTACCGCCGGAGACGGAAATCCGTGAGGTAGCTACTTTTAGTCTCATCGTTCTCCAGTCGACCTGCCTGGTATGGTAGAACCTTCAGGAACATATGTTCAGCCAATATAGCTCGGTTTGGTGATCACGATAGGTAAGCCCGACCACCATGTCAAGGTAACAGCTACGGCCGAGACAATTGGGTCTGAGTTACATTGGAACCAATAACTTTCAACCAGTGATCATCTTTACAAATCCATTTAAGAAATTGACAAGTAATTTTTAAGACAGAAGACAATAGACTGAAAACTATAATATTAGGCTATGTATGTGTATGACAAAATGTTTGTGTACACAACTAGGCCATGTGAAATAAAAGCACGATTTGAATATAGGTGACTGAATTCGATCACATAAAATAAATCAGTTCTGAAAGTTGATTTCAAAAAAATACCAAAATTTTCGCATAAAACAATTTTTTTATTTATTTAAATAATATAAGCTTTTTTATGCTTTAGATACGTGACAGACAGACAGATACAACGCAGAACTTCATCGTCGTCTTATCGTTCTGCAATCAACCTGCCTGGCATGATAGGACCTGCAGCAACATATGTTCCAGCCAGTATAGCCCGGCTGGGCCGACACGATAGTTAAGCTCGACCACCACGTCAAGGTAGCAGCTAAGGTCGGGTTAGATACGTGAGATAGTATTTGTTTCGAAAAAAAAACTACACCTACATGTGTTATCATCAATTTGGTGAGCGCAAACGAACAACTAACTAGGTTGATTAGAGAGTAAGTAGACTTGTGTAAAAGAAAAAAACATTGATCACGTTTTTTTATTGATCTTTAATATAGACAAGTTCATTGATTCAACTTTGAACTTCTACATTGTTTGTAACAAGCTACTAGCAATCATCTTTAATTACCGATTCGATTTGCGAAAATTTCAACCGATACACACACATATGTGTATCACATGTTAATCTCATGTTGATTATTATAACTACAATTGACAAATCAAGACCATCATCCATCAAGTGGCTGACTGAGTAGTGTTAATTAGTGGTCACGCACTTATCGTAACACCAATAGTTGGAAATATGAAGTGATATTTGATATGCTCTTTGTTGTAACGCTTGCTTAAATAATACCCAGCTAAATCCTATTGCTTAGTATTCTCTGACCACACAACACACTGGACAAGTTCCCAAGAATCAGAAACACGGTTGAACAGGAAAAGATTATATTCCAAATAGTAAGGTTAAATGGAAATAAGAAGCCAAAAGTGATGGCGAAGAAGGCGAAGTCCCCAAAAATAGATACAACGTTGGTCTATTTATAGCATTTACATTTGAAGCTTCTGGATAGAAATTCACATGATCGACTAGATTAGATTTAGCCAATCAGCATGCAGCTGACAAGACGAGTATTTTCTACCCAGCTCTCCAAAAATCGATCAGGCACTGATTGGATAGGAAATTAGCCAATCAGCGCGTAGCATGTTTTAATTCCATCTATGTCCCACTAACACTTACAACATTGTATAAGCTTAATCTTTTCTATCGATGTTGATACTATCAGTACTACAACCACTACTCCGATATTTACATGAATAATTTCCTATTGCTGTGTGGTAAATGTGATGTGGTAACTCGGGTCAATAATAGATACAGTTAGTGTCTCGGTCGGACGTCGACTTTAGGACTGACGACTTGAAACAATTAGAGTAAAATAAAAATCAAGAAACTAATAATAATAATTGCAAAATTTAATGTTTATACAATGTTGGAACCATCTAATTTATTTTAATAACAGACATTTGGAGATAAACTAAAATCTTCAATTTAAGCTCCATGTAGAATAAGTAGGATTTAAATTGTTTGTTTGATATAGTACTCAGTCAATCAGTCACTCAGTAACAACGTAGAACTTCGTACATGAGTATATAAGTTCAGGTTGCCATACCACATTAGCACAGAGATACAATTGTCAATTCAAATCCAGTAGTCGTAGAGGTAGTAGAAGTATTAGCAGTAATGGAGAAAATTAGGGTCTGAAAGAATTATTCAAGAAGTATAATTGTTACGATATTGATCCAATGTCCTAAGAGAATCGGTTGTAAGTCTAATTTTACTGGTAAATTCCTACTGATCAATATTATGGTTATTGTAGCTATCAGTGTCACTTACTTCAATGTTGTTTCCCATTGGTCGTCCTGACTACCAATGTCGCTTCAAATGTTGTTTCCTAATGACCGTCCTAACTATTAATGTCACAGACTTCAATGTTGGTTCCTATTCGACCTAACTGTATAAATACGCATTATCTGTAACGTTTTATGACCCGGTCCCGGATGCGGATCCCTAGTCCGGGATCCTGATTCTCTTCTGGACTCGGACCGCGTACTTTCTGGATGCTTGTAGAATGCACTTTCTAATTTGTATAAAGTCTTCTTCTTTTACTCAATGGGGGGTTTGGGACGCTCGGATTAGAGTAGCCTGTCTTGTCACCGGATCATCGATCCTCGCTCTCGTTTTCCGACTAAGGTAAACTCGTAATAGTTCAAGCATATCAATTGACGTGTTTACGTGCATGCATAACAATAATTCAATGAGATACCTTTAGAAAGAGAAAGATAAGGAATTCAAAAGGTTAGAATTTAAGAGAACACAAAGAATGGATTCACCAGTGCCATTGCAAACGATTTTGAGCCAAGGTCTCAAACCATTGATTACTATCATCTCGCGGACCCCGACCAGGTAGTCGACACCTACCAACATGACTCAGTCCACTTGTCAGTCACTTCATGGATTTCTGCCATGTTTTGGTTTGGCCACCCCTACTCCCACACCACAAAACATCACTCGTTGTGGCAGTCAATGGTTTGGCATACGTAACACATGTTCCCAACCACCTAAACTGATGAACATTCACTACTTCATCAACTGATTTGCCCCCGTTACCTGATGTAGTACTAATCAGATAAAACAACAATACCAACGGATATTCTTGCTTCCAGCTTCTTCATTCTCCAACTTCGTTCAATTTAAACACCAGTTTAATATGCTTCAGACTATATATAGTTATAGTATTCAAGAAAAACACACACATATTATAAACAAATATACATATATATATACATATTACTATAACTATTAATGATTACTTGTAGTTGATTCACGTTCAATTTTATACGATTTCATCAATTGATTACGTGAACAATATAATTCAAAACAATATTCTCTTGTTTTATCTTGTATCAATCGAATATTCATGCCTTCCAATAAGATGACACCTTTAGTTTGACGTGAACGCTAGATAACACAATATACAATAAATAATAAAACATCTATTAGACGAATAGATAAACAAGAAACTGATCACTATTCAGTAATTCATCGATATATCTTAATCTAATAGGTTAGTCGCGTCTCGAATAGCTCAGTGACAGACAGACAGACAGATACAATGCAGAACTTCGTGCATAAGTACATTAGTTCAGGTTGCCATACCACGTCAGCACAGAGACGTAACTGTCAGTTCAAATCCAAGAGTGATAGCAATAATAGAAGTATTAGCAGTAATGGAGAAGATTAGGGAGCAAAGATGTAATTCGAGAAGTATAATTCAGTGAGATAAATTTAGAAGGAGAAAGACAGAGATTATGAGGAATTCAGGTTAGAATTAGAGAGAACACAAATAGTGGATGCACCTGCGCCATTGCAAACGATTCTGAGCCATTTCGTTCAAAGTCTCTAACAATCGGTGACTTTCGTCTCGCGAACCCCAACCAGGTAGTCGACAACTGCCAACATGACTCAGTCCACTTGTTAGTGACTTCAGGGATTTCTGTCATGTTTTGTTTGGCCGCCCCTAGCTTTCTTCCAACCTACTCCGACAATAGCTCAGTCACGATGTCCCAGAATATGCAGTTGTATGATCTAGGGTTCGAGTACAGCAGGGAATATCAGTCCCGTCAAAATCGCTGACAAGTATTAGTTCAGAACAAAACTGATCAGGTTAAACCAACTAATGCTAGTTAATCTGAAAAGTTCGTAACGAATATCAATCAAAATAAAACAAACATAATGGTTCAGCAAAGAAATCTAGGCAATTTTTTCTCACCGACTTAATTTCTTAACAATAAATAGTTAAAGTGGCACTTGGGATATGTAACGACTAAAAACGGCTTATAAACAAGTATGAATGTGTGTTCAACTCTACTCCTATAAGGGTAAAACACATAGACCAGTTCTTTGTAAACATGGTAAATAGAAGTTGGACGTTCAATAATAACACGAGCGAACAAAATTAGACAACAAACATACCAAAATAAGTGTTATTTTTAACTTCGAAAAATGAATCATTGAGAAATCAAAAGAAATATCGATCAAAAGAGTGTTACAGAAAAACTAGATCAAAATAAATGAGATCAAGAAAGTGCACTGTTTAGTTTGATCAATTTGAATACTAAAAAACAATAACAAAGAGCATAGAAACTTAGCAATTTGTTACTTGTCTTCACCTCACATAAAAAAACTATCATATACGCGTAGTCTAGGTGGTTGGTTAGTAAGTACACCTTCTGGTAGATATCAGTAGTTACTACAAAGTTAGACAAAGATTTTCATCTCTAAGAATAATGTATATGACAAAGTTGGCGTTCACAGGTCAATCATCACATAGACTTAGGCGCGCTCCCCACGAATTCGACGAGCTAATTGAATATCTTTCGGCATGATGGTGACACGCTTAGCATGGATTGCACACAAATTGGTGTCTTCAAAAAGACCAACAAGATATGCCTCGCTGGCATCTTGCAGGGCGGAAACTGCAGAACTTTGGAATCGTAAGTCGGTCTTAAAATCTTGAGCAATTTCGCGGACCAAGCGTTGGAATGGCAATTTGCGGATAAGTAGTTCTGTCGATTTCTGGTAGCGACGAATCTCACGGAGAGCAACGGTCCCTGGGCAGTAGCGATGGGGCTTCTTGACACCTCCAGTCGCTGGGGCACTCTTACGAGCTGCCTTTGTAGCTAGCTGCTTCCGGGAGCCTTACCATCAGTACTCTTACGAGCTGTCTGTTTGGTACGTGCCATAACTGTGAACTGTGAAAGTTGATTCCGATGAAAATTTACCAAATGCTTAGGAGTTCACTAGTAGACGTTGAAGTATAAGAAAAACTTTACAAAGCGGATGTTATTATTTGGTATGCCGATCAGTCACAGACACTCTCATAGAATCTCATGTTCTAGGAGCTAAAAAAGGATGGTCGGTAAAACCACGTGGAGTTCTGAAACTAGTTCACTTTTTCAGGATTCATTCTTCATGAACTTTATATTATGCTCGTCAATTGATATGCTTAAAACTATTACAAGTTCATCTTAGTCGATAAATGAGAACAAGACTGAACCAGTGACACTATAGGCTACTCTGATCTATTTCCCCAACTAACTGAAGAAGAAGTCTTGATATGGCGTAGAAAGTGTATTCTACAAACACCCAGAAAACACATAATGATCTCAAGCACACAAATCGCGTTTATTTATACATCATAGAAACGTCCTTGGGATAGTCACAAAAATAGCGTACTAAAATAACACATCAACCAATCACAGCCAAGGATTTTCCTAGTGGGAAATGTTATCTCAAGGTCAACTGATCAGCCTATGAATACATTCCGAAATTAAGACATTTGTCAAGTGAGTTCTGAGGATCTAACGTCCCCAACACTTTAGTCAAGTGTAATGTGATCACGTTCACTTCGTATGCTTTCTAGAAGCGTAAGAGATAAATATGTACTCAGCTAACCTAATCAAATAGTTACTATTATTAAGACATGCACTGATTTCTCGCAAAACACCAGCATTATTCATTGACGCGAGGTTAGATCATTTCAGATTGTCATAAAATTAACAGAAAGTTGTCATTATCACACACACACACGCACACACGCACACACACACACACACACACACACACACCGTTTCGCATGAAACAATGAATATAAACGTGCTGGAAGATATTTGTTTTCACCAGTTACATAATAGATAACCTACTATGATTCCGATGTAACAGGATGGCGGTGATCAATAAACTTACCTTTCAAGTGTTTCTAATTCAGAAGATGGATGATAACAAGGAGTAATTATACTTTCGCATTGAATAATGCAAGGTAAACATGTATAAATGGAGTAGAATATCAGTATGCAGTCAGTCAGTTAATTGTCATCCATGTAGAGCCTGGTGTAGGTGTCTGTCTGTCTGTGTGTGTGTGTTTCGACTAACCAATAAGGTTAGCTAGGGGATAATAAAATGTAATTTGAAGGTAGCTAGCTCTACAGAGTGATTGAAATGTTTTGCCTATCTATCGATATAGATGATTTCACAACCCTAGTCTTCTTCATTACCATTAATACCTCTACTATCTTTATCACTACGGGATTTGATTTGACATTTGAGTCTCTGCGCTAATGTGGTATGTCAACATGAACTGATGTCCATACGTACGAAGTTCTACGTTGCAACTGACTGACTGAGATGATTTCACAAACAGCTTGAATATTCAATATGATTGAGATAAAGAATTGATCAACGAAACAGCTGTGAAGTGCTTACAAGATTCTAATGGTAGTAGTGTAACATTAATCAATTTATGGTTTCAATGAAACTCAACAATCTCCACAACCTTATTATAATGTCGATTTCTTAGTAGTTGTCTCCTTAATGAGTCTGAATAGTTGTCTGGTATTAGATATACTTATATCGAGCATCCGACATAAAGTTATTCTTTATTCCGAGTTATAAACTTACTCAGACGAGGGATATTAACCATTTGCCGAATTTGCGTACATCTTTGTAATCGAATAGGTAAATTATTGATCAAACTATTGAACGGCATGTAGTGTTTGAAAGAACGGGTTATTTGGTATACGAACAACACACAAATACAATACAACTGCATTGCTCACGTTTTCTTGGAACTACTTTAGAGTGATGAGAGTAATGTTTGAGATTAGAATGGAGAGTGCTAGTTAAATGTGACGTAGCCGAAGAAATAAATAATAAACCAGGATTATGAATTATAATAAAAAGGGGTAATAATATTAGAAATAATTTATATAGTACTTACATCAGGAGTAAGATAATATAAGAGACTATCTTCTGTCAGGACAAACCATCGTCTTTTCCAACTTTTCACTCGACCACCTTACATAATAAAATAAATAGAAATATATACACATGGTAAGTCCAAGATAAATCAACTTAATAACACATTACATCATCATCATGATCAACAGTAACGTAGAACTTTGCACGTAAGTACATCAGTTCAAGTTGCCATACCATGTTAGCATAGAGATATAATAGTCAATTCAAATCCCATAGCAGTGAAGGTAGTAAAGTATGAGAAGTAATCGGAGAGATTAGGATTCGAAGATGTTATTCAAAAATATAATTCAGTGAGGTATATTTGGAAAGAAAAAGGTAGAGGTGATGAGGAATCAAAACGTTTAGGATTTGAGAGTACACAAAGAATAAATGGACCTGAGCCATTGAAAACGGTTTTCAGCCATGTCATTCAGGGTCCCTAACCATTGGTGACTCCCGTCTCACGGACCCCAACAAGGTAGTCAACATCTACCAACATAACTCAGTCCACTTTTCACTGACTTTATGGATTTGTGCCATGTTTTGGTTTAGCCGCCCCTAGCTTTCGTCCAACCTATTCCTACATCGCAAAACATAGCTCGACGAGGCGATCCGTGATTAGGCATACGTAACTTATGTCCCAACCACCTCAACTGATGAAGGTTCAATACTTCATCTAATGACTCGCCATCCTTACTTAGTACTCGTTTCCTAATGGCAGCATTGCTCACTCGGTTATCCCGGGATACGCGAGCGAAGCCCGTAAGAAACCGATGATCGAATACTAGTAACCTACGAATATCCTCTATTCTTAGTGGCCATGTTTCACAACCGTAAAGTAGGACGGAGTGAGCTGCTGCGCAGTAGACTTGTCCTATGGTCAGCAAATGGATATCTCGTCTACGCCATAAGTGATGCAGGTTGGCATAAGACTATCGAGCCTTCTGTATCCGTGATGAGATATCGTCAAACACCAAGCCATCGCCACTGATGAGACTCCCAAGATAAGTGAAGCGATCAACAAGCTCAACCGCTTCACTTCTTATCACTAGTTCAGGTACCGATGCAACCCAATCTTGAAGCAACATTTTGCATTTCGAGGGGGAAAACCGCATCTCGAACATTCTTGCATTATTGCTCAGGGTAGTCAGAAGACTCTGCATTTTGTCAGCATCTTCACCAAGAAGGACAATGTCGTCAGCATATTCTAAGTCAACAAGCGATTTTCCTGGTAGAAAGTTTACTCCTGAAAATTCAGACGAACATAATGTTATGTCTAGCAGCATGTTTACGACAAAATTGAACAGGAATGGGGAAAGTGGACATCGCTGACGGACACCACTTGAAGTAAAGAATTCCGATGACAGTTCGCCATAAGCTCTAAATCGACCTGTAGTGTTCGAGTAGAGAGCTTGTATAAGGTTAATGTACTTCTTTGGTACACATCAGTGTCCATGAAGTCGCCAGTGTATATCCAACAAAGTTTTGATTACGAGATAAATCAACGAAAGTTGACAAAACAATTCGTATCATACACATTGAAATCATCAATCAATCAATCATTGTTAGACCACAATTAGAAACCCACAAGCACTGCACGGCCGTTTCGTCCTGGTATGGGACTCATCAGTGGCAGTGTGCATCCACAACTCCTGTAACTCGCACGATCTGACTCAGGGCCTTCGGGCTTGCGTGCGAGCGCCTGAACTCTGGACCACTGAGCCGGTAGCATCCAACGGTGTTAATGTCTAACTCTGATCAATGTAGGGACTTTTCGCAACCTCACCCATTTGTCTTTGGTAGCTACTGCCTACAACCGACAGGGTTGAACTCCACTAGTCATATCTTCTCATTAGAACTCCGAGAATTTCTTCATGAAGCTAGTCACTAGTAAGCACATATGATTGATGATTTCACTGTGTAGAAATACTAATCTTTATAACTCTAATTGAAAGTTCGTATTAGGATTGTAATCTGTGATTACAACCAGTGTCGATGTTGTGGTGCCTTCCTCATGCACACTCAACAACAACAACAACAACTACAACTAAATGTATTCAAAACTTACCAAGTTTCCATAACCATCCTTTATGAATTCCATTATGTTGATTAGAACCGCATACAGATGTATCATCAGAAATTGCACGAAGTGGTTCATTTTTAATAGCACGATAAATTTTCTGTTAAAAAGGAAAGAAAAATACAAAGTAACAAAAACTCAGTCAGTCAGTCAATTGCAACGTAGAACTTCGTACGTAAGTACATCAGTTCATGTCGCCATACCACATCAGCACAGAGATGTAATTGTCAATTCAAATCCAATAGTAGAAGAGGTAGTAAAGATATTAGAAGTAATCGGAGAGGTTATGTGATTAGAAGATATTATTCGAGAAGTATGATTCAGTGAGAAAAATTTAGAAAGTCAAAACTAGAGGTGTTGAAGAATCTAGATTAGGATTTGAGAGAAGAGAAAGAATAAATGCACCGGCGCCATTGCGAACGATTTTGAGCCATGTCATTCGAGGTCTCTAACCACCGATTATTATCATCTCGCGGACCCCAACCAGGTAGTCAACAACTACCGACATGGCTCAGTCCACTAGTCAATGACTTCATGGATTTCTACCATGTTTTGGTCTGGCCGCCCCTAACTTTCTTTCAACCTATTCCTACACCACAAAAGAAAGCTCGTCGAGGCAGTCGGTGGTTAGACATAAGCAGCCCATGTCCCACCCAACTTAACTGAAGAAGTTGCATTACTTCTTCTATTGATCTGCCATTCTTACCTAGCACCCGATTCCTAATGACAGCGTTGCTCACTCGGTTGTCCCACGATATACGAGCAGTGCTTCGAAGACACCTATGATCGAAAACCAGTAACCTACGAATATCTTCTACTCTCACTGGCCATGTTTTACAGCCATAAAGTAAGACGGAAAAGCAGAAACTATTAGGAAAGAAATAAAGACTAACATATTGAGGTTGTTAGATCGCTGGAACTCACTAGGGAAAAGGTCATAAATTTTGGACTTTTTTTATGTTTTCGCGCATAAGCTGCCCAGTTGACCTTGAGACTACATTTCTCATTGGCTGGTGGATTATGTTAGTAGGCTATTTTTTGGCCCTCCCAAAGGCGTATTTATTTAAATAAACTCGATTCATGTGCTTGTAAAACCTCGTATTTCTTTCTGGGTGCCTGTAGAATACACTTTCTACGTTTTATCAAGACTTTTTTGATATATTTTTATCCGGGCCGAGGACAACGGATTAGAATAGCCTATCGTGTTACTGCACCATTTATCTGAGCTCCATTTACCGAGTAAGATGAACTTATAACAGTTCAAGCATATCAACTGACGAGCATATTATAAAACTATTTTACATAACACATGCACAATTAGTAAAAAACATACAAACTTCCGTTGATACCATTGAGTACAGGATCCTGAAGGGAATGAATGGTATATGAATGAATTTCGGCCAGCATATATATCACTAAACGGCCCCTTTTAATGCTGCTTAAGTGCCTTCTAGATTAGATTTCTCATCAAGAACTCAAGGAATAAGCCGCAATGAAAACCGCTTGTTTCGGTTCGGACGCTACTGCAGTACCATAGACCATGCAAATATTATTGGCGAGACCTCGAACGACATGTCTGAAAATCGTTTGCAATGGCGCAGGGGCATCCAGTTCTTGTGTTCTCTCTAATTCTAACCTTCTGAATTCCTCATGATCTCTGTCTTTCTCCTTCTAAATATATTTCACTGAATTATACTTTTCGAACCATATCTTCGCGCCCTAATCTTCTCCATTGCTGCTAATACTTCTACTATATCTATCACTCTTGGATTTGAACTGACAGTTACGTTTCTGTGCTAAGGTGGTATGGCAACCTGAACTGATGTACTTACGTGCAAAGTTCTACGTTGCAACTGACTGACTGACTGATGCAAATGTTATGAAACACTTGGATATAACCATTATTATTACCACTTATTATCATTTAATTACATAATTATTGGTGCGAAGAGGGACCTAAGCATTGATGCGCCCCACAAATCAATGAATGTGAGTAGGCTGACTTACTGCCCGGCTGCTCAAACCGAGGGAGGTCACTTAGGGGCCATTCACCGAGTCTTTGACCTACAGGTTAAATCCACAAAGCAGTGCAGCAACGTCAGGAGATGCAGTTACATGATAGTCGGTAACTGTTACGCTCGTCTCTAGGTATGCTAAACTATTACGAGTCCGCCTTAGACGAATAACGAGAACAAAACAATGAACCAGAGTCCAGGTAGGCTACTGTGATCCTTTGATCAAAAGGTATCAGAAAGAAGTCTTGATATAATGTAGAAATTGTATTCTACAAACACCCAGCCAGCACACAATGAATCCAAGCACTCAAATTGCGTTTAGTTTTACACTATAGAGAGACGTCCTTGGGACAGTCGCAAAAATAGTATACTAAAATAACATAGTAATCAATCACAGCCAACAATTTTCCTGTTGGGAAATGTAATCTCAAGGTCAACTGATCGGTCTATGAAATAAATCCACAATAAAAACATTTGTCAAGCGAGTTCTGGGGGTTTAACATCCCCAACAGTAACCAACAATGAATGCATACAACATTTGTTCCATCATGATCTTGCAGTCCATATGCCCCACCGGTTTGAAATCAAGGTTTTACAGCTCCCTTAGGCGAGTCTTCTGTCATCACCAACACGAGTAACGCACCGGATATTCGCTTTTTGTCCTCTCAATTTCTTTAACAACACCCCTGCCACCACGAAAAGACAGTGAGTAAGACTTCCCTGGCAGTGATTATATATGCACAACCACATGAGAGCACTTTAAGAAGTGGAGCGCACTCCCCCCACTCACGGCCGTACGAGGACACTTGGGGGAGAGCTATTATAGCAGCTGCTTTAACCACTAGAATACCGATACGCAGCCTTAGAAAACATCCAGGCCAAAATCGAAAATTGTGATCCCCAGTTTAAAAAATCTATGACCTGAACTAGATATTGTGAAATAAATAGTAATTCAATATCAACCATGCGAATTCACTGACTTCCATAACTAAATCAAAGCAGAATGTAAATACAATCTATTCAATGAAACAACAAATATCATGATTAAACCAAATTACTTACACGAACAAGATCCTCGGATAAATTAGTCTCTTCATCGAATTCCATCATAGCACGTACAAAAGTTTTTTCTTCTGCTAAACCTAGACTTTGACTTTTTGCATTGATATTATGTAGTGTAGTATTTAACAAAATAACAGCATAAGAAAGGACATAAGCTTCATCTGAAGAATAAAAAACAAATCGAACAGAGAGATGAATACACAAAGTGTCAATAATATCATGCAATCATAATAATAATAATAATAATAAATGAGAAAAATTTGAAGAGATCATAGGTGTCTTCGAAGCATTGCTCGTATATCCTGCGACAACCGTATAAGCAATGCTATCGTTAGGAAACGAGTTCTAGGTAAGGATGGCAAACCAATAGATGAAGTAGTGAAACTTCATCAGTTGAGGTGGTTGGGACATGTGTTACGTATGCCTAACCACTGACTGCCTCGACGAGCTTTGTTTCGCAGTGTAGGAGTAGGTTGGAAGAAAGTTAGAGGCAGCCAGACCAAACCATGACAGAAATACATGAAGTCATTGACAAGTGGCCTGAGTCACGTTGGTAGATGTAGACTACCTGGTTGAAGTCCGCGAGACGAAAGTCATCGATGGTTAAAGACCTTGAATGACATGGCTCAAAATCGTTTGCAATGGCGCAAGAGCATCCACTCTTTGTGTTCTCTCTAATTCTAATCTTCTGAATTCCTCATCATCTTCATCTTTCTCCTTCTAAATTTGTCTCACTGAATTATACTTTTCGAATCATATCTTCTCTCCCTAATCTTCTCCATTACTGCTAATACTTCTACTATCGCTATCACTCTTGGATTTGAACTGACAGTTGCGTCTCTGTGGTGACGTGGTATGGCAACCTGAACTGATGTACTTACTTATGATGTTCTGCGTTGTATCTGTCTGTCTATCTGAAGAGAAATAAACCATGTGAATCAGCTGATTTTTGATGTAAACTACAGTTGAATTCATATGACCAAATTAATAATAAATTCAATCCGAACGATACTCTATATATCACGGTCAATGATTAATAATCAAAATTTTATTTTTCAGGACAAATAAACTGTAGTACAAATAGACGCACTATAATATATGCCACAAAAAAATGAAGGGTATTTTATAACGAAACAGAGACAAGTCGAATCAATTACTAAATAAACAAGAGGAGTATTCTATACAAGCTATGGTTCTGTTAAAAATACAACCAAGAAGGACACATTACATTTAAAAAAAAGTTTATGACACTTTTATGAAGAGTGTGTGGTGCGAGCTACTTATAAGTAGTATATGACGTGAGTGTCAACGTATTGTCTGGCAGCAGAAGATGGGGGAAGATCAAGAGAAAGGAAGAGTTAGAACACAATGGAATTTGTATGAAACGCATGAATAGTGACAATGGATTGTTGATGTTTTGCAACAGGAACAGTCCAGTTCGATATGATGAACTGATATTTTGCAAATTAACGATTTACGATATGGTTTTCCGATTTTACTGAGTAACTCTGTAATTTTCGTTGAATACAATTCGGTTGCCCTCACCTGTGTTCTCCTTCACTACAAGTGTAGCATAAAACTACAGAATAAATGCTAATGGCTTGAATTCTGACTCTGATAATGTGATAAGTCAAGGTGTTGCATGATCTCTGGGATCGTCGCCTGATAGTTGTGGTGAATTTATAGGTATCAGACTTTTACAACTCTATCTTATCACGACCACATTCTATCTGCTTTTTCCATAACAAGTTTCAGTTTCGACAATTAGTGCACAGTGTGAAAGCTGCTGGGAATATACGCTTAAAATATGTTCATTATGATGGTTCCAAATGAATTAACTTCAGTTCATCTGAACACAATTCCAAAGCATAAGATTACAGATATAGTATTCCCACTGGATGTAAGTAACTCTTTGAAGTGGACGAACATCAAATACAAAGAGTTGCCGAATATCCTTGATTTCAAGGGAGCCATGTTTCACAAGCACAAAGCAAAGGTTGTAAATCCAACCTTTTGCAAACAGACCATCATCACGACAGCGCCAAAGACAGCTAGGACCAGAATAAGCCGCCACAGCTTCCACTATGTATAGATTGGATTTATTTTTGACACTGTCGCAAATATACAACTACCCATATACACAGTTTGTTCTGATTAGAATAGTCGAAACAATTGTGCTGGAAGTTGATGCTAGCCACAATCAGTTAGTCAGTCAGCTACAACGTAGAACTTCGTACGTACGTACCTCAGTTCAAGTTGCCGTATCAGGATGATACGGTAGCCACAAATATAGCATCTTTTTATTCCAATATGAAGTCTGAGCCGAAATTAATTGCACTGAGATCACCTGCCACTGGCGTGGTAGTGTGCACGAATGCAGCTCCAGTTGGATTACCTATCTGAACGTTGATTGTGTCTTCGTTTGCGTCAAGCTTATCTTGCGTTTTAGTGGTCATCGAATTTACCATCCTAAGCGAGTTGATATACGAAGACTGGCAACATTTTAAGCTGCAACCAAATGCCAAACTAAGCTAAGTTTAAAGCTGCTACACTTAAATGAAGAGGGTTAATAAAAGCTAATTAAGCTTTTCGTGCCTGTTGTGAAATCATGTTGATTATAGTTGTACAGTTACACCTATCGGAATTAAATATTTTGAGGAAATACATTCATTTTTTCGAAATTTAGAGTAGAATCTTTTAAACTGCTAATATTTAAATAAATTCATAACTGACTATGAAATTAACATTCTTAGAGAGTGGTTGAAAGTCAATTCAGTTAGATTGCATCTAAGTTGTCTATCACAAAGACAAACTGTTTAGGATATTGTTCAATTTCATAATAACCAGTACAATGACCACAAGTAATAAACATATTACAGATTTCTAGCATGTTTAGAGATGGATTTGCATTCATTCTGATGTAACACCAAACATCTAACGCGAACAGCATATTCTGGTGGTGTTTCGTTCTCTGAGCTGGTTGTTTTGGTTGTGGAGCTCAGAGAACGAAACACCACCACAATCATCCACCTGAGCTACAAGTTTTCTCCACCATCGCGAACAACATATAAAGGATAGGATATATTGATGGAGTTTCGTTCTCTAAGCTGAATGTTTTGGTTGTGAAGCTTTCCATTGTATCTGTCTGTCTTTTGTGAAGCTTTCATTGTTCTTCTGAACACCATCATCAGCACAAACTTCATGGTAGAAGTGAAGTATTCGAATTTCTCCACATCTACACTCAATTTAGAAACTTAGGCTTATCTGGAAGACAAAGAACAGTGAATGTATCGGTACCAATTCTTAGTCTTGCCAACCAAAGTCTTTGACCACTGGTTAAGATGATTGTGTTGACCCCAATCCAGTAAGCCTATACTTACCAATAGGGTTCAGTACAACAGTGACTTTATGAACTGACCCCAAGTATTGGTTTTGAGCACTCCTAGTGTTTCTCCATCCTACTCATACATCCAGCATCATTGCACGTCGACGTTAGGGGCAGTAGATGAGTATACGTAATACATGTGCCGATCATCTCAGCCGACAGCGATTCAATATCCTATCTTTTACATATTGAGTTACTAAAAGCAATCTAATGAAGAATTTGATAACTGATTCTATTGTACAACCGATAAATAATCTTAAGTAATAATACATATGCACAGATTACTAATCACATGAAATACAAACATATATATATTTAGCAAGTTGTGCAAAGGTTTAATAGTCCACGAACTTGAAAGTCAGCTGATCCAACAAAACTGTCCTTAATTATTATTGCTAATTATCAGTTGATTGTATCATAGAATAAAAATCGATTTATCAGATTAAAACATAATTGAACAAATTTATAGAATATAATTCTAAGTAAAACTACCAGACCGCGTTTGATTTTGCGGTAAAATAGCTGATTAGCCCCCCAAAAAGACAGCAATAAAAAATAACAGGTATAACATGTTCAATATGTTAACATACGTGGTGAATTAAAAACGGAAGGATTCTGTTCTACATAACGTTCAGAGAAACTTGTTAAAATGCGATCAATCTTTTGACTTTCACCAGGCAATTGAAAACTAAATAGAAATTGTCTAAAAATAATAATAATAATAATAAGTTTTAATAAATAAATATGATGTAGTAGTAGTAGTAGTAGTAGTAGATCGATGAAATAATAATGTAAATGATTGGTGAATGAAATTCAGTGTATGATTTAAATGTTAACAAAAATTTTAAAAAAAAACATCATTATTAATAATATCATAGTAGGATTTGTGAGTTTTTAGGTAGACTCAGTCAGTCAGTCAGATGCAATGTAGAACTTCGTACGTAAGTACATCAGTTCATGTTGCCATACCACATTAGCACAGAGATGTAATTGTCAATTCAAATCCAATAGTAGGAGAGGTAGTTAAGGTATTAGAAGTAATCGGAGAGGTTAGGATTAGAAGATATAATTCAAGAAGTATGTGATTCAGTGAGATAAGTTTAGAAAGTCAAAACTAGAGGTGTTGAAGAATCCAGAAGATTAGGATTTGAGAGAACACAAAGAATAAATGCATCTGCCCCATTGCAAACAGTTTTGAGTCATGTCATTCAGGGTATCTAACCATCGATTATTATCATCTCGCGGACCCAACCAGGTAGTCGACAATTACCGACATGGCTAAGTCCACTCGTCAATAACTACATGGATTTGTGCCATGTTTTGGTTTGGCCGCCCCTAGCTTTCTCCCAACCTATTCCTACATTACAAAACAAAGCTCGTCGAGGCAGTCGGTGGTTAGGCATACGTAGCACATGTCCCAACCACCTCAACTCATGAAGTTTCACCACTTCGTCTATTGATCTGCCACTCTTACCTAGCACCCGTTTCCTAATAACAGCGTTGCTCACTCGAGTGTCCCAGGAAATACGAGCAATGCTTCGAAGACATCTATAATCGAAAACCAATAACCGACGAATATCTTTTACTCTCATTGGCCATGTTTCACAGCCATAAAGTAAGACGGAGCGAACTACTGCGCAGTACACTCGTCCTTTAGTCAGCAGACGGATATCTCGCCTACGCCATAAGTGACGCAGCTTGGCAAAAGCCAATCGAGCCTTCTGTATCTGTGCTGAGATTTCGTCAGTCACCAGGCCATCAGCACTGATGTTTTAGGTAGACTGATTTTGTTGATATATCCTCCGCCTCTTAATTCAGTTGGAAAGGTTAAAGAAAATCTGAAGCTCGGGAGAACAACATGTCCTGACTAGCTTACTGATGAGATTTTTAAGGATAGTATAGTTTTAGCAGTTAGATTGACTGAAATCTTGGGTAGAATCTGGGAACTGGACATAATGTCAACCCGATTACTGATTGTCCCAGTCTATAAAAAAGGACAAACGTCCTCTAGTGACAACCAGAGAGGAGTCGATTTAACTAATACAGTGTCTAATAAATTAACTTCAATAATATTTCAATACCTAAAAGGAGCTTGTAAAGAGCAGACTTCAGAAGACTAGACTGGTTTCAGATCTGGACGTGGATGTATAGACCAGATATTCACAATTTTTCAGATCAAAAAAACTCAGACACACATTCTGACGTCACACAATGGTTGTATTTCTTGACTTGAATGAGGCGTTTGACTCTTGATCGTGAGGTTCTGCGGCAGTGTCTGTCATCGAAAGGTGTACCAAAGAAGTACATTAACCTTTTATAAGTTCTCTACTCGAACACTACTGGCCGAGTGAGAGCTTATGACGAACTGTCATCTGAATGCTTTAGTTTAAGTGGTGTCCGTCAGGGCTGTCCACTCTCTTCATTCTTGTTTAACTTTGTCGTAGATATGCCTTTAGAGTTAACATAATCATCGTCTGACCTTTCAGGAGTGGACCTTCTACTAGGAGATTCGCTTGTTGATTCAGAATATGTCGATGGTATAGATATATTTGGTGAAGACGCTGAGAAAACGCAGTCTTCTGACCAACTCAGGCAATAATGCAAGTGTGTTGGGGATGCAGTTCTACACCTACAAATGCAAAATTTTGATTCAGGACTGACTTACATCGGCACCTGGACTAGTGATAGAGAGTGAAGTATTTGGAAGTATCCACTGGTGCGCTTATCTTAAGAGTCTCACCAATGTTGATGGCCTGCTGTATGACAAAATCTCGGGGGCTTGACTGACGTACGTACGTACGTACGGAGTTCTACCTTGTGACTTGACGGATTGCTTTTAGGGTAAAAAATTTCACCAAAAATAATGGATTGTCATGAAGAAACGTCATTTAGACTGAGTAATGTAGTGACACTAGTGACTGGAGATTAAAGAGATTAATAAGGAACGTGACAGGATGCGATTATATGCGAAAATGTTTCAGGTATTGATTCATGGATTAAGACAGCATAGTACGCCATAGGTATTGTAGAGTCAAATTATACAGACAGACAGACAGATACAACGCAGGACTTCATACGTAAGTACATCAGTTCAGGTTGCCATACCACATTAGCAGCACACAGAAGCGTAACTGTCAGTTCAAATCCAAGAGTGATAGCGATAGTAAAGTATTAGCAGTAATGGAGAAGATTAGAAAGCGAAGACATGATTGGAAAAGTATAATTCAGTGAGATAAATTTAGGAGGAGAAAGACAGAGATTATGAGGAATTCAGAAGGTTAGAATTAGTGAGAACACAAAGAGTGGATGCACCTGCGCCAGTGTAAACGATTCTCAGCCATGTCGTTCAAGGTCTCTAACCATCGGTGACTTTCGTCACACGGACCCCAACCAGGTAGTCTACATCTACCAACATGACTCAGTCCACTTCTCAGTCATTTCATGGATATCTGCCATGTTTTGGTCTGGCCGCCCCTACCTTTCTTTCAACCTACTCCTACACCACAAAACATAGCTCGTCGAAGCAGTCGGTGGTTAGCCATAGGTAACACATGTTCCCAACCACCTCAACTGATCAAGTTTCATTACTTCATTTATTGATTTGCCATCCCTACCTAGAACTCGTTTCCTAACGACAGCATTGCTTATACGGTTGTCCCAGGATAGACGAGCAATGCTTCGGAGACATCGATGATCGAAGACTAGTAACCTACGAAAGTCCTCTACTCTTAAAGACCATGTGTCGTATCCGGATAGTAGGACGGAGTGAACTGCTGCACGGTACACTCGTCCTTCGGTTAGCAAACAGATATCTCCCCTGCGCCATAGGTGACGCAGGTTGGCAAAAGCCAGTCGAGCCTCCTGTAACCGTGCTGAGATTTCGTCAGTCACCAGGCCATCAGCACTGATGAGACTCCCCAGATAAGTAAAGCGGTTTACGCGTTCGACTACCTGACTCCCTATCACCAGTTCATGTGCCGATGCGACCCAGTCTTCAGGCAACATTTTGCATTTCAAGGGGGAAAACCGCATCCCGAACATGCTTGCATTGTTGCTCAAGGTGGTTAGAAGACTCTGCATTTTATCAGCGTCTTCAGCAAGCGATTTTCCTGGTAGAAAGTCGACTCCTGAAAAGTCGGACGAAGATAATGTTATATCTAGCAGCATGTCTATGATAAATTATGCACTAATAAAAACCCTGAATAAATCACGCCCGTGATTGAATTGTACAGTACGCTAGTAAAAATAAACATCAACACTGAAGGCAAGAAGGATGAGTAGGATCTTACGTACCACACAAACTTAGATCAAGTGATAGCGCACACATCAAAAACAAATTTACAAAGTTGACTCACCTAAGTGCAGGTAGGAACTCTTCATCTTTAAAATTATGCAACTTAGAAAATGCATCCAAAACTTTCATGTTAAATTCTTTAGAACTAAAAAAATCATACAGAAAAGTTTAATCTCAGGCAAGGAAAACAAGAAGTATGCTTTATAAGCCGTCAGTGAAATACGTGAATGATCTAATACTGTGGCTCTTTTCAGTTTATGCCATAACTACTACCAACACGTACCTGTTTGACTTAGAATGAAGAAACACTTAACTTGAATGTCAGTGAATATCAAAATACACAAGCAATATCAATACCGCTGATTGATTGAGTACTTCCAATGTACCATATTAATTAACTAGGATATTTAAAAGGTCTTACTGTATGTAATCGAAAAATACCTCTAAGCATACCAATGATAACAAGCAATTTACACGAGAATTTAAAAGCGGTACTTACATCTCTCCAATATATGTGCCTACGGCATGTTTAGATAAATTGTGGTTTTGATCGATAAAAAACTTTGCTACATCCTCTGGAGACCTTCCAATTATATTTTGGTCAAAGAGGTATTCTAGACCCTGCGAAAATTTTTATAGGAACAATAGATCTAACCTGTTTTGCATTCCGATTGAACTCCTTGCAGCCATGAGCAAGTCGTCTAACAGATGGGTCCTCTCTAACAAACAATTAGAAGAAAATAATCGGAAATACCCATCAACAGAAAATCCAAGACTTTCAATCTGATTATTTATTTCATTAAGTTCAAGTTTTAAGGACTAACAAAAGTTAGGTTATAACATCGTCACCTCAATATTTTTCATAACCTGAGTCTTCTGCTGCCTAATGAATTGTAGTCTTTCTTTTTCTTCAATGGTAAGATCTAAATAGAAATAATTATTAGTAAATGCTTAAGAGAGAAATTTCACTGTAGCACTTCGAAAAGATCATAAAAACTTACCATCATAGTCCATTCCATACGAGCTTTAAACAAACGCCTTAATTTAGCGCAGGCTAAAACAAAATAGCGATCTTTCGGTTACTTTTTTTAAATACAAAAGGCATCATGCCGCACTTAATTGGGACCTGTAACACTTGTTATTTCCTCAATTAACGCTTGTTTTCTGATAACTCATGAAACCGTTCTTTACCGAATATTGATACATTTTGCGTGAGAAAAAACCTGCTTTTAACATGAATCTGAGCATTAACCAGGAATCATTTGGCCTTTTATTATGCCTTTATGGTCTTACTAACTACAGAAAGGGCTATAAAAAAGTACCTTTATTTAGCTGATCGAACCACGAACGAATACGCTCCACCTAGTTTCTGCTCTATTTAATACGAAGACTGTCAAATCTTTACAACCCAACGTTGGCCCAATCCAATTTTGTAAAATACTACTAATATCGCCACAACTTTCAGAAGCAAACCGTAATTTTCTTGCATCTACCGTGCCTAATATTTTTAGTACATACAGCTGTCTCTCTATCCAGCTTCAGTACCTTGTAAAAATTTACAGATATTTCTATAGCTATAGAAATATCTGTAAATTTTTACAAGGTACTGAAGCTGGATAGAGAGACAGCTGTATGTACTAAAAATATTAGGCACGGTAGATGCAAGAAAATTACGGTTTGCTTCTGAAAGTTGTGGCGATATTAGTAGTATTTTACAAAATTGGATTGGGCCAACGTTGGGTTGTAAAGATTTGACAGTCTTCGTATTAAATAGAGCAGAAACTAGGTGGAGCGTATTCGTTCGTAATTCGATCAGCTAAATAAAGGTACTTTTTATAGCCCTTTCTGTAGTTAGTAAGACCATAAAGGCATAATAAAAGGCCAAATGATTCCTGGTTAATGCTCAGATTCATGTTAAAAGCAGGTTTTTTCTCACGCAAAATGTATCAATATTCGGTAAAGAACGGTTTCATGAGTTATCAGAAAACAAGCGTTAATTGAGGAAATAACAAGTGTTACAGGTCCCAATTAAGTGCGGCATGATGCCTTTTGTAATTTAAAAAAAGTAACCGAAAGATCGCCTATTTTGTTTTAGCCTGCGCTAAATTAAGGCGTTTGTTTAAAGCTCGTATGGAATGGACTATGATGGTAAGTTTTTATGATCTTTTCGAAGTGCTACAGTGAAATTTCTCTCTTAAGCATTTACTAATAATTATTTCTATTTAGATCTTACCATTGAAGAAAAAGAAAGACTACAATTCATTAGGCAGCAGAAGACTCAGGTTATGAAAAATATTGAGGTAACGATGTTATAACCTAACTTTTGTTAGTCCTTAAAACTTGAACTTAATGAAATAAATAATCAGATTGAAAGTCTTGGATTTTCTGTTGATGGGTATTTCCGATTATTTTCTTCTAATTGTTTGTTAGAGAGGACCCATCTGTTAGACGACTTGCTCATGGCTGCAAGGAGTTCAATCGGAATGCCAAAACAGGTTAGATCTATTGTTCCTATAAAAATTTTCGCAGGGTCTAGAATACCTCTTTGACCAAAATATAATTGGAAGGTCTCCAGAGGATGTAGCAAAGTTTTTTATCGATCAAAACCACAATTTATCTAAACATGCCGTAGGCACATATATTGGAGAGATGTAAGTACCGCTTTTAAATTCTCGTGTAAATTGCTTGTTATCATTGGTATGCTTAGAGGTATTTTTCGCATACAGTAAGACCTTTTAAATATCCTAGTTAATTAATATGGTACATTGGAAGTACTCAATCAATCAGCGGTATTGATATTGCTTGTGTATTTTGATATTCACTGACATTCAAGTTAAGTGTTTCTTCATTCTAAGTCAAACAGGTACGTGTTGGTAGTAGTTATGGCATAAACTGAAAAGAGCCACAGTATTAGATCATTCACTGTATTTCACTGACGGCTTATAAAGCATACTTCTTGTTTTCCTTGCCTGAGATTAAACTTTTCTGTATGATTTTTTTAGTTCTAAAGAATTTAACATGAAAGTTTTGGATGCATTTTCTAAGTTGCATAATTTTAAAGATGAAGAGTTCCTACCTGCCCTTAGGTGAGTGAACTTTGTAAATTTGTTTTTGATGTGTGCAGCTATCACTTGATCTAAGTTTGTGTGGTACTGTAAGATCCTACTCATCCTTCTTGCCTTCAGTGTTGATGTTTATTTTTACTAGGCGTACTGTACATAGTGTATGATTTATCATAGATATGCTGCCAGATATAACATTATCCTCGTCTGAATTTTCTGGAGTAGACCTTCTACCAGGTGGCTCGCTTATTGACTTAGAATATGCCGATGACATAGTCCTACTTGGTGAAGATGCTGACAAAATGCAGAGTCTTCTGACTACCATAAGCAACAATGCAAGAATGTTAGGGATGCGGTTTTCCCCCACGAAATGCAAAATGTTGCCTGAAGACTGGGTCGCATCGGCACATGAACTGGTGATAGGGAGTCAAGTAGTCGAACGCGTAAACCGCTTTACTTATCCGGGGAGTCTCATCAGTGCTGATGGCCTGGTGACTAACGAAATCTCAGTTCGGATACAAAAAGCTCGACTGGCTTTTGCCAACCTGCGTCACCTATGGCGCAGGCGAGATATCCACTTGCTAACCAAAGGACAAGTGTACCGTGCAGCAGTTCACTCCGTCCTACTATACGGATGCGAGACTTGGCCGTTAAGAGTAGAGGATTTTCGTAGGTTACTAGTCTTCGATCATGGGTGTATCCGAAGCATTGCTCGTCTATCCTGGGACAACCGTATAAGCAATGCATGTCGTTAGGAAACGAGTTCTAGGTAGGGATGGCAAATCAATAAATGAAGTAATGAAACTTGATCAGTTGAGGTGGTTGGGAACATGTGTTACCTATGGCTAACCACCGACTGCTTCGACGAGCTATGTTTTGTGGTGTAGGAGTAGGTTGAAAGAAAGGTAGTGGCGGCCAGACCAAAACATGGCAGATATCCATGAAATGACTGAGAAGTGGACTGAGTCATGTTGGTAGATGTAGACTACCTGGTTGGGGTCCGTGTGACGAAAGTCACCGATGGTTAGAGACCTTGAACGACATGGCTGAGAATCGTTTACGATGTCGCAGGTGCATTCACTCTTTGTGTTCTCATCTAATTCTAACCTTCTGAATTCCTCATAATCTCTGTCTTTCTCCTCCTAAATTTATCTCACTGTATACTTTTCCAATCATATCTTCGCTTTCTAATCTTCTCCATTACTGCTAATACTTCTACTATCGCTATCACTCTTGGATTTGAACTGACAGTTACGCTTCTGTGTGCTGCTAATGTGGTATGGCAACCTGAACTGATGTACTTACGTATGAAGTCCTGCGTTGTATCTGTCTGTCTGTCTGTATAATTTGACTCTACAATACCTATGGCGTACTATGCTGTCTTAATCCATGAATCAATACCTGAAACATTTTCGCATATAATCGCATCCTGTCACGTTCCTTATTAATCTCTTTAATCTCCAGTCACTAGTGTCACTACATTACTCAGTCTAAATGACGTTTCTTCATGACAATCCATTATTTTTGGTGAAATTTTTTACCCTAAAAGCAATCCGTCAATGTCACAAGGTAGAACTCCGTACGTACGTACGTACGTCAGTCAAGCCCCCGAGATTTTGTCCATACAGCAGGCCATCAACATTGGTGAGACTCTTAAGAGCACCAGTGGATACTTCCAAATACTTCACTCTCTATCACTAGTCCAGGTGCCGATGTAAGTCAGTCCTGAATCAACATTTTGCATTTGTAGGTGTAGAACTGCATCCCCAACACACTTGCATTATTGCCTGAGTTGGTCAGAAGACTGCGTTTTCTCAGCGTCTTCACCAAATATATCTATACCATCGACATATTCTGAATCAACAAGCGAATCTCCTAGTAGAAGGTCCACTCCTGAAAGGTCAGACTATGAGTATGTTAACTCTAAAGGCATATCTACGACAAAGTTAAACAAGAATGAAGAGAGTGGACAGCTCTGACGGACACCACTTGAAGCTAAAGCATTCAGATGACAGTTCGTCCATAAGCTCTCACTCGGCCGGTAGTGTTTCGAGTAGAGAACTTATAAAAGCGTAATGTACTTCTTTGGTACACCTTTCGAATGACAGACACTGCCAGCAGAACCTCACGATCAAGAGTCAAACGCCTCATTCAAGTCGATACAACCATTGTGTGACGTCAGAATGTGTGTCTGAGTTTTTTTGATCTGAAAAATTGTGAATATCTGGTCTATACATCCACGTCCAGATCTGAAACCAGTCTAGTCTTCTGAAGTCTGCTCTTTACAAGCTCCTTTTAGGTATTGAAATACTTATTGAAGTTAATTTATTAGACACTGTATTAGTTAAATCTGACTCCTCTCTGGTTGTCACTAGAGGACGTTTGTCCTTTTTTATAGACTGGGACAATCAGTAATAGGGTTGACATTATGTCCAGTTCCCAGATTCTACCCAAGATTTCAGTCAATCTAACTGCTAAAACTATACCTATCCTTAAAAATCTCATCAGTAAGCTAGTCAGGACATGTTGTTCTCTCCTAGCTTCAGATTTTCTTTAACCTTTCCAACTGAATTAAGAGGCGGAGGATATATCAACAAAATCAGTCTACCTAAAACATCAGTGCTGATGGCCTGGTGACTGACGAAATCTCAGCACAGATGAGGCTCGATTGGCTTTTGCCAAGCTGCGTCACTTATGGCGTAGGCGAGATATCCGTCTGCTGACTAAAGGACGAGTGTACTGTGCAGTAGTTCTCACTGTCTTACTTTATGGCTGTGAAACATGGCCAGTGAGAGTAGAAGATATTCGTCGGTTATTGGTTTTCGATTATAGATGTCTTCGAAGCATTGCTCGTATATCCTGGGACACCCGAGTGAGCAACGCTGTTATTAGGAAACGGGTGCTAGGTAAGAATGGCAGATCAATAGACGAAGTGGTGAAACTTCATCAGTTTAGGTGGTTGGGACAAGTGCTACGTATGCCTAACCACCGACTGCCTCGACGAGCTTTGTTTTGTGGTGTAGGAATAGGTTGGAAGAAAGCTAGGTGCGGCCAAACCAAAACATGGCAGAAATCCATGAAGTCATTGACGAGTGGACTGAGCCATGTCGGTAATTGTCGACTACCTGGTTGGGGTCCGCGAGATGATAATAATCGATGGTTAGATACCCTGAATGACATGGCTCAAAACTGTTTGCAATGGTGCAGGTGCATTTATTCTTTGTGTTCTCTCAAATCCTAATCTTCTGGATTCTTCAACCCCTCTAGTTTTGACTTTCTAAACTTTTCTCACTGAATCATACTTCTTGAATAATATCTTCTAATCCTAACCTCTCCGATTACTTCTAATTCCCTTACTACCTCTTCTACTATTGGATTTGAATTGACGATTATATCTCTGTGCTGATGTGGTATGGCGACATGAACTGATGTACTTACGTACGAAGTTCTACGTTGCATCTAACTGACTGACTGAGTCTACCTAAAAACTCACAAATCATACTATGATATTATTAATAATGATGTTTTTTTTAAAATTTTTGTTAACATCTAAATCATACGTTGAATTTTGTTCACCAATCATTTACATTATTATTTCATTGATCTACTACTACTACTACTACATCATATTTATTTATTAAAGCTTATTATTATTATTATTTTCTTTAGACAATTTCTGTTTAGTTTTCAATTGCCTGGTGAGAGTCAAAAGATCGATCGCATTTTAACAAGTTTCTCTGAACGTTATGTAGAACAGAATCCTTCCGTTTTTAATTCGCCACGTATGTTAACGTATTGTACATGTGATATCTGTTATTTTTTATTGCTGTCTTTTTGGGGGGCTAATCAGCTATTCTACCGCAAAATCAAACGGTCTGGTAGTTTTACTTAGAATTATATTCTATAAATTTGTTCGATTATGTTTTAATCTGATAAATCGATTTTTATTCTATGATACAATCAACTGATAACTAGCAATAATAATTAAGGACAATTCTGGATCAGCTGACTTTCAAGTTCGTGGACTATTAAACCTTTGCACAACTTGCTAAATATATATATATATATATATATATATGTTTGTATTTCATGTGATTAGTAATCTGTGCATATGTATTACTTAAGATTATTTATCGGTTGTACAATAGAATCAGTTATCAAATTCTTCATTAGATTGCTTTTAGTAACTCAATATGTAAAAGATAAGATATTGAATCGCTGTCGTCTGAGATGGTTGGTATATATATATTTATTACGTATACTCATCTACTGCCCCTAACGTCGACGTGCAATGATGCTGGATGTATGAGTAGGATGGAGAAACACTAGGAGTGCTCAAAACCAATACTTGGGGTCAGTTTATAAAGTCACTGTTGTACTGAACCGTATTAGTGAGTGTAGACTTACTGGATTGGGGTCAACACAATCATCTTAACGAGTGGTCAAAGACTTTGGTTAGCAAGACTAAGAATTGGTACCGATACATTCACTGTTCTTTGTCTTCCAGATAAGCCTAAGTTTCTAAATTGGATGTGGATGTGGAGAAATTCGAATACTTCACTTCTACCATGAAGTTTGTGCTGATGATGTTGTTCAGAAGAACAATGAAAGCTTCACAAAAGACAGACAGATACGATGGAAAGCTTCACAACCAAAACATTCAGCTTTTAGAGAACGAAACTTCATCAATATATCCTATCCTTTATATGTTGTTCGCGATGGTGGAGAAAACTTGTAGCTCAGGTGGATAATTGTGGTGGTGTTTCGTTCTCTGTGCTCCACAACCAAAACAACCAACTCAGAGAACGAAACACCACCAGAATATGCTGTTCGCGTTAGATGTTTGGTCTTACATCAGAATGAATGCGAATCCATCTCTAAACATGCTAGAAATCTGTAATATGTTTATTACTTGTGATCATTGTACTGGCTATTATGAAATTGAACAATATCCTAAACAGTTTGTCTTTGTGATAGACAACTTAGACGCAATCCAACTGAATTGACTTTCAACCACTCTCTGAGAATGTTAATTTCACAGTCATTTCTGAATTTATTTAAATATTAGCTGTTAAAAAAATAATACTCTAAATTTCGAAAAAAGAATGTATTTCCTCAAAATATTTAATTCCGATAGGTGTAACTGTACAACTATAATCAACATGATTTCACAACAGGCACGAAAAGCTTAATTAGCTTTTATTAACCCTCTTCATTTAAGTGTAGCAGCTTTAAACTTAGCTTAGTTTGGTTGCAGCTTAAAATGTTGCCAGTCTTCGTATATCAACTCGCTTAGGATGGTAAATTCGATGACCACTAAAACGCAAGATAAGCTTGACGCAAACGAAGACACAATCAACGTTCAGATAGGTAATCCAACTGGAGCTGCATTCGTGCACACTACCACGCCAGTGGCAGGTGATCTCAGTGCAATTAATTTCGGCTCAGACTTCAGATGGAATAAAAAAATGCCATATTTGTGGCTACCGTATCATGATACGGCAACTTGAACTGAGGTACGTACGTACGAAGTTCTACTTTGTAGCTGACTGACTAACTGATTGTGGCTAGCATCAACTTCCAGCACAATTGTTTCGACTATTCGAATCAGAACAAACTGTGTATATGGGTAGTTGTATATTTGCGACAGTGTCAAAAATAAATCCAATCTATGCATAGTGGAAGCTGTGGCGGCTTATTCTGGTTCTAGCCATCTTTGGCGCTGTCGTGATGGTGGTCTGTTTGCAAAAGGTTGGATTTACAACCTTTGCTTTGTGCTTGTGAAACATGGCTCCCTTAAAATCAAGGATATTCGGCATCTCTCTGTATTTGATTGTTGTCGACTTCGAAAAGTTACTTGCATCCAGTGGTAATCCTATATCTGTAGTCTTATGTTTTGGAAATTGTGTTCAGATTGAATTGAAGTTAATTCATTTGGAACCATCATAATGAACATATTTTAAGTGTATATTCCCAGCAGATTTCACACTGTGCACTAATTGTCGACACTGAAACTTGTTATGGAAAAAGCAGATAGGATGCGGTCGTGGTAAGGTAGAGTTGTAAAGGTCTGATACTTATAAATTCACCACAACTCTTAGGCGAAGATCCCAGAGATCATGCAACGTCATGACTTATCACATTATCAGACTCAAAATTGAAGCAAGTAGCGATCCTTCTGTAGTTTTATGCTACACTTGTAGTGTAGTGAAGAAGAACACAGGTGAGGGCAACCGAATTGTATTTAACGAAAATTACAGAGTTACTCAGTAAAATCGGAAAACCATATCGTAACCACCGTTAATTTGCAAAATATCAATCCATCATATCGAACTGGACTGTTCCTGTTGCAAACATCAATCCATTGTCTGACATTTCACTGTTCATGCGTTTCATACAAATCCCATTGTGTTCTTCTAACTCTTCATTTCTTGATCTCCCCCATCTTCTGCAGCCAGACATTACATTTTTACTCGCGTCATATACTAACTATAAGCAGCTCGCACCACACACTCTTCATAAAAGTGTCATGAACTTTTTTTTAAGTGTAAAGTATCCTTCTTAGTTGTATTTTTTAACAGAACCATATCTTGTATAGAATACTCCTCTTGTTTATTTAGTAATTGATTCTACTTGTCTCTGTTTCGTTATAAAATATCCTTACTTCATTTTTATGGCATATATTATAGTGCGTCTACTTGTACTACAGTTTATTTGTCCTGAAAAATAACATTTTGATTATTAATCATTGACCGTGATGTATAGAGTATCGTTCGGATTGAATTTATTATTAATTTGGTCATATGAATTCAACTGTAATTTACATCAAAAATCAGCTGATTCACATGGTTTATTTCTCTTCATACAGACAGACAGGTACAATGCAGAACTTCGTAGATAAGTACATTAGTTCAGGTTGCCATACCACATCAGCACAGAGACGTAACTGTCAGTTCAAATCCAAGAGTGATGGCGATAGTAGAAGTATTAGCAGTAATGGAGAAGATTAGAAAGCGAAGATATGATTCGAAAAGTATAATTCAGTGAGATAAATTTAGAAGGAGAAAGGTAGAGATGATGTGGAATTCAGAAGTTTAGAATTAGAGAGAACACAAAGAGTGGATGCACCTGCGCCATTGCAAATGATTTTCAGACATGTAATTCAAGGTCTCTAACCATTGGTGACTTTCGTCTCACGGACCCCAACCAGGTAGTCGACAACTACCAACATGACTCAGTCCACTTGTCAGTGACTTCATGGATTCGTGTCATGTTTTGGCCTGGCCGCCCCTAGCTTTCTTCCAGCCCTCCCCTACATCACAAAACATCGATCGTCGTGACAGTCGGTGGTTAGGCATTCGCAACACATGTCCCAACCAGCTCAACTGATGAAGTTTCACTACTTCATCTATTGATCTTTCATCTTTACCTAGAACTCGTTTCCTAACCATAGGATTGCTCACTCAGTCGTCCCAGGATATACGAGCAATGCTTCGAAGACGCCTTTGATCTCTTCAAAATTTTCTCGTTTATTATTATTATTAAGATTGTATGATGTTATTGATACTTTGTGTATTCATCTCTCTGTCCTATTTGTTTCTATTCTTCAGATGAAGCTTATGTCCTTTCCTATGCTGTTATTTTGTTAAATACTACATTACATAATATCAATGCAAAAAGTCAAAGTCTAGGTTTAGCAGAAGAAAAAACTTTTGTACGTGCTATGATGGAATTCGATGAAGAGACTAACTTATCCGAGGATCTTGTTCGTGTAAGTAATTTGGTATTATCATGATGTTTGTTGTTTCATTGAATAGATTGTGTTTACATTCTGCTTTGATTTAGTTATTGAAGTCTGTGAATCAGCATGATTGATATTGAATTACTATTTATTTCACAATATCTAGTTAAGGCCATAGATTTTTTAAACTGGGGATCACAATTTTCGATTTCGACCTGGATGTTTTCTAAGGCTGCGTATCGGTATTCTAGTGGTTAAGGCAGCTGCTATAATAGCCCCCCCCCAAGTGTCCTCGTACGGCCGTGAGTGGGGGGAGTGCGCTCCACTTATTGAAGTGCTCTCATGTGACCGCGCTTATATAATCATTGCCAGAGAAGTCTTACTCACTGTCTTTTCGTTGTGGCAGGAGTGTTGTTAACGAAATTTAGAGGACAAAAAGCGAATATCCGGTGCGTTACTCGTGTTGGTGATTACAGAAGACTCGCGTAAGGGACCTGTAAGACCCTGATTCCAAACCGGTGGGGCATATGGACTGCAGGATCATGATGGAACAAATGGTGTATGCATTTATTGTTGGTTACCGACTACCATGAGAGTGCATCTCTTCACGTTACTTCCCTGCTTTATAAATTAGACCGGTTGGTCAAAAACTCGATGAGTGGCCCCTAAGTGACCTCCCTCGGTTTGAGCAGCCGGACAGTAAATTAGCCTACGCACATTCATTGATTGGTGGGGCGCATCAATGCTTAGGTCCCTCTTTGCACCAATAATTATGTAATTAAATGATAATAAGTAGTAATAATAATGGTTATGTCCAAGTGTTTCATAATATTTGCATCAGTCAGTCAGTTGCAACGTAGAACTTCGTACGTATGTACATAAGTCCAGGTTGCCATACCACGTCAGCATAGAAACGTAGCTGTCAGTTCAAATCCAAGAGTGATAGCTATAGTAGAAGTATTAGCAGCAATGGAGAAGATTAGGGCGCGAAGATATGGTTCGAAAAGTATAATTCAGTGAAATATATTTAGAAGCAGAAAGACAGAGATGATGAGGAATTCAGAAGGTTAGAATTAGAGAGAACACAAGGACTGGATGCCCCTGCGCCATTGCAAACGATTTTCAGACATGTCGTTCGAGGTCTCTAACCAATAATATTTGCATGGTCTATGGTACTGCAGTAGCGTCCAAACCAAAACAAGCGGTTTTCATTGGGGCTTATGCCCTGAGTCCTTGATGAGAAATCTAATCTAGAAGGC